AATCCTGAGCATAGCTACATGAAGTGATCGCTTGTACGTAGCTCTCTGACCACCCAGGAGAGATGGCGGATACGTGTCCTGTATGGATCACATGGCCCACCCTGACATCCGTGCTGCTTACTCTATGGGCATCGAACACCACGACCTCTGGTCCATGCCCTTTCGTTGCACTGGCACCTTCCTCTTCCCGATCATTCGCAAGACCTTATTGTGGACATGCGAGCGGTCAAACGTTCAGGGTGTCTCATGTTTTCATATGTTTTCCTGAAGTAGCTGGTGTTGCACGGCTTTGTGAATCGGTCGTGCAGCGCCTCGCCAACCAGCGGCAGACCGAAAGCAGCACCTCCTGTCAGGCATGTCCACGAGAACTTTCAGGTGCCTTGGCCTTTAAAGAACCTGTTGCCGGCGCTTTTTGTTCGGTTTGCCACGCTGGTGGCGCAGCCACAACACACCGAGTCTCTGCTTGAACAACTAGCACGAGTTTCTGCCAACAACATTGAGTCTCGGAAGCGGATGCGCAACCTGAGGGATTGAGGCCATGAGCTGCCGAACCGCGTCAAGATCGGAGATCTAGAGCGTTGTTATGCAATCCTGCCTGCCCTGAGGTGCCGATCTACCAATACGACTGCACCGTCAGCGAGCCTGCAGCAGTGTGTGACCACTGCAAGTTCTTTCAGGCCTGCCTGAAGGGCGCGACGCAGCTGTACTTAGCAGTTCTGCTGAAGCAGTGTCGGCATTTCTATAAAGGCTTGCTGGATCTGCTGACAGCGCGACCCAAGGAAGATGGTCGCGGAGGCTTCGAAGGCAAGACTGCCTGGACACTGAAGCAGGCCTGCTCTGCTCACTTGCCGCGCATTAGCTCCAGATCGCTATGCTTGTTGATGAAACTCTGAGGAGGCCGTTTGCAGCAGTTATTGAGAGTATATGTCATTCGATTTGAGGAACACGGAGTGCGGTCGCTCTTGGAAGGTTTGCTTCTTCTGGACTTCGATTTCGATTCATCTGCAAGAGTTGTCTCTGTGTTGTCTCTCTGGAACACGTATGTGAAGATGCATCAAGAGAGACGAAAAGTGCTCAAAGTGCACTTAACTGCACTAAGAAGGTTTGTATGCTTTTCCAGGCCATCCGGAAATCCGGGAAAGAGCATCTCCCCGACCGCCCCTTGTGCTGCAAGACAGCTCCTGGCAGTTGGTGGGAGGCAAGCGGTGCTTGAGCCGAGCCCAGGATCTCTCCTAATGAAGATAGACATCGAGGGTGCCGAGTGGCCCACGCTTGGCACGGCCAGCACGGAAACACTCAGGAAATTCCGGCAGTTGCTGATTGAGTGCCCGGGCACAACTGTTTGGTTTGGTGGATACGCCAGCTTCAAAACGTACCCCGCCCGTGTGTCAGGTACCTTTGCAGGTTAGAATGCATGTCAACTAGAGTACAGGATGTGGGATGTTGCTTCGACTTTCAATACCTGCTCAGGGCACCAGGAAATCCTTTCGCGCACGTTTGATAAATATGGTGCCGTGTCGCGCGTTAACAGTCCCCCCCATGGTATACACCCGAAATCCTCGTGAGGGTCGTCACTGTTGTCTCAAAAGTGCCAACAGTCCAGGGATGGGCCCCCCGAACTCGCGATCTTCGTGAGAGTCGTGGCTTTTGAAGCTTTGCAACTTCGTGGCATGTCCAATTTGGCGACATTCCCCTGGATGGGCGAGTCATATCTATACACCTAAACCCTAAACAACCCCACCACCCACATGGAGGTGCGGGTGCAAACCTTAAACCCTAAACCCAACACCCACCACGGGGAAGGGGTTAAACACTTATCCTGAAACCCCCAACCCACCACCATAGCACACCGCACCACACCACAGCGAGGGAGAAGGTTGTTAAAAAACCCAAAACCCACCACCGCACCACAGTGGGGCAAAGCCTAAACCCAACACCCATCACCACAGGCAGGGGGGAAGGGGTGAAACACAACCGGAAACCCCACCACCACAGCACAACACACCACGCCACACGGGGAGAGGGGGGATAAATGACTCAAAACCCACCACCACAGTACAGGGGTTACGCAACACAAACCCATCACGGAGAGGTGGGGGTTAAATAGCCCAAAACCCACCCCACCACGGGGGCCAAACAACCCAAACCCACCACACCACAGAGGGTGCGGCGGAGAACACAGGCCACAGGGGAGGGCACGCGTGCACCACACCCCACATTGATCTTTGCCTTCAGGAGGTAACCCTTTCGGGTCGGGTGGGTTGGATACCCCTACCCCCTCATCCCCCTCCTCCGCGCGTTAGGTACCGAGAAAGATGGCGGGCACATGCGCCCTCCCTGTCGGTTGGTCTTCTTCGCAGGTCTGGTTAGGTACCTGCCACATAGAGGGTTCGGGGGTGTTGCTCTCCGCAGGTCACCTGCGCAGGGTATCTCCTGGAGGTACCCCGCAATCCTATTGCGCGAGTTGGTTGCCACACACCCCGTCAATCCTCCCAACCTTTCGGCTGGTCTTCTCCGTGTGGGTTGCTTCCTGGCGTTAGGTACACGCCTGCATGAGAGGGATAGGGGATGTGCGGGGCACAACCTGGCCAACTTACAGTCATGCCTTGCATAGCAGTCCTGACACAAAGGTTCCACGACTTGGGGGACGAGGGACGTCACTCTGAGTTCTTGTCCACGATGCAAAACTTGCAGAAGGCTCGGGCGTGCCGGCGTGCCCTGTTTTGTGCGCTTTCAAGCGGACGCGACTTGGCTCTAGCGCTCGCTCTGAGCTCTGGAGGCCGGCTTCAAAGTGGTGCACCTACATGGCAACGACTTCGGTAGCAATTACAAGAAAGGTACCTGGGCCTTGCCTGAGTGGGTCTGAGCAGGGCCATTTTCAGCATGCAAGGCCACAAGGCGAGAAGTCCTCCAATCTACAGGTTTAGGGTCGAGAGAGGCTAGCAGCGATCAAACTATATAGGCGGACATTTGCATGAGTGCCTCTGTGTGTTTGTCAGTGTGATGTTCGTAAGTCGTAGTAGTCATGCATGTGAGTACGTCTGGAAGGGGATCCGGAGAGAGATGTTCCAGCCCAGCGATCGGATCAGGCTTCGAGAGATGTTGTATCGATCTTTTAACTTTTAACATCGCAACAGTCCGACCTGACAAAATGACTGACTTGAGTGAGCCAGTTCGGATTGGAATGATATCGAGAAGTCATTGTGTTCGGGGATCCGGGGACGCAAGGGCATCTGTGTGTATTGAAGTGACTGACAGTATACTACTCCAGACCGTAGGATTTCTCGGGCTGCGATCTTGCAACATCTCGAGGTTACCCGACTGAGGACGAAAGCATCTCTCAAGTTGTCAGAACACCTGAAGCAGCGACTTAGTCTTCGCATGTGGCCAGGGCACTCTCTGGGGTCGCAACGTCCTTATGCAGCAGGTACCACTTTCATATTGACGACACGCAGGGGTTCTGAAAGATGGCGAGCGAAGTGCGAGAGGATTATCCGCAGAGCACGGCATCGTGCGCACCATGTCGCACTGCGAACAAAATGCCAAAGTGGACAAGCTGAAAGCAAAGGCTGGAACTAAGATTGCAACTTTGTCCATTCGGTGCAGTAGCTGTGTATTGTTGAAGACGCAGATCTTGGATGAGTTGAAGATTCCTTTAGCATCGTCTACTTGAGCGATCGGGCACGAACGCTTTTCTCGGCTGGCAAGGTCCCTATTCGATCCCTTCTGTCATCGAGGTCTCCATGGATTCTACCGTCGAGGCACGGGCTTTCGTCCCCGAGGGTCCGAGTCTGCGTCCGCGTGCGTACACAGTCCGGTGATGTGGCTTGCGCTTGGAGTTCCACACTATGTTATGTGGCAGTTCGCCAGGGTTAGGGTTTGTCTATATCAGATCCGAGCTCTTAGTTGGGCAGGATATGTCTACATGCCTGGCCAAAGAGAAGCGCTTGCCGCTTGATGCCAAGAACAGGCCAGAGTGCGACGGTGAGGATTCATGTACAACATGTGGCTAGCATTCGGCACGTGGCTTGCCAGGAAGAAGATCCCTCACGGGAAGAAGGACCTTCCAAAGGCGCACCTTCCCAAACTCTGAGCGCCCCCATGCTTCACTTCTAAGCCATGTCTAGAAACAGATGTGCCTTGATGTGCACCCAATTTTGGACAAGTGCTTGTCCTTAAAGGCGAGCCGTCGTTTTAAAAACGTTACAGGTTCTGCCGTCTTATGCCTGGCCGAACCTCTGACTGTGGAGGCTGCACTTAGGCCCTGTTGTGTCTGAACAGGCTGCCAGCAGAAAACAAGAGTTCGGTTCTTGCCGTGCGAATTTTTGAATTAGACCTGCCCTCATGCAAAGCTTGGCACGACAGTGGCCAACGACTCCCAGCTGTCCCATGGGGTGCCTTCATGCATATGCTGCTTAGCTACTTGTTTCATGCTTCGTAACAAGAGATCGTGGCGGCTCAGTGTAAGCAGCGCGCGAAGGAGCCGTGCAGGAACCCCGCTGCCTCTGCCACGACCTCCATGGGAGGCCGGGAGACGAAGGGCTCCAAGCTTTCAAGAGCCATGCAGCCCATGCATCAGTGTCGGATGATTCTCCATTCTCTGACAAGCAGTATGGTGTTCCTTTCACCTCAACTTTCCAGAGCGCGCTGACACATTACTTTAAGTGGTGATTCAGTGATTGGACTTCCGGGCATGGCCACAGCACTGCCTTGAATCTGAACATGGAAGAGCAAGAAGTTGAGCGTGTGCATCAGGCCTTGGGCTTTCAGCCACACTAGACTGTCCTGGCTTTCCCACACTCACACAACATCAGGCAGCAGCCCACGAGTATGTGTCCAATGAGGGGTCTGTAGCGGCGTATGAGAGCGAGGCGTCGTGTTCTTTTCTTTTTAGCCTCTTAGTCGGAGAGCAGCCTTAGGCCAGAGACTCTGAACTTTTGGAATATGCCATATTGACAGCTCCTTCCACTTTGGCCAGCTGCCTTAATTGCTTTTCCGCCATGCCGCCTAACATCACCATCCCGGCAAGCTTGACACTTGGTGTGCAAAGCGCGTTTGACACTTCATTGAAGACGTCTTGCGTGATGAGCCAGCCAATCGCAATGCGTAGGTCATCCAGAGGTTTCTCTGTCCGTTGCGGCTGCATTCTGTGTTGGAGGATTTGGCTGCTTCAGTGTTAAGCCGCAAGAGTCATCGTCCAAATCCTGCAGCCAATCAGTGCAACTTGCAACAGCATACCGCTAGGCAGAATGAAGAGTTCAGCAAATCCATAGGATTTTCACTGAAAAATGTCCCCATGCTCCAGGAAGTTCGAAGTCGTCTGTGCAGACACTGCTCCTGGAGAGACTGTGGCTGTTGTCGGATCCTGTCCAGAGACACACGGCTGCGGTTGGTCGAGTGTGCCTCACAGAAGTGGGATAAATCGCAGCGTGATGAAGTTTGCAAACGCCGTTGAGTTCTCATGAATTCGAGGGCGGAACACTCGCAGATTGTCTGAACCAAGGCTCGGCGAGTGGGATCCCAAAAAGGGCCTGGAACTCGCTACAGAGGTGCCGCGGTTGTTGCTGAGGGAAGAGGGAGAGCAGGAAGAAGGGGGGGATCGGGATCTGCAGAAAATGCACGTCACACGTCGCGATGCGTCGCAGGCGCAGGTCTTCCCCAGCTGGTTCTCGCCGGCCGCCGCTTGGCCACCGAGCATTCCCAAGCGAAGCCGCGCCAGGTGTGGTTAAGACTTTCAGGGCCCCCGTCCCTGTGCTGTTTGCGGGAGCTCTGCAACGCTTCGTTTCAACCGAGATTCCCATCCACCCAGACAAGATTTTCTTCAAGACGCTTGGCGAAAATGGCTTGTTTCAGTTTTGAGGTGTGATACGCTGAATGGAGGAAGCGAAACCAGCTTCATCCGACCTTTCCGTTGCCAGGCCACCCCCGAGCTTGACCCTCTAAAGTGAGCAGCTCACAAGTACTGGTACAGTCCCTGAGCCCCTTCCGGATTGCACGACGCATCGTGTTTCCGTATGAACTTGCTGTCCGCAGCCATCGCCACAGCGACACATGCAGCTTCGGGGCTACGTCGGACAGAGCCAGGTTCAATGCGAGGCAAGTTCTCCTAGGCACTTCGACATCGACAGGTTCAGCGTTGCTAGCACTCGCCAGCTTGCAATCCAAGGGTCGTTATCACTGGCCCGAAGGGGGTTCGCTGGGAGGGTGGTGACAACAAGCCGGTGCCGCCTGCCTAACTTAGCGGCTTGGGATGTTTTGTGTGCTCACAGATGCGCTGCATTTCGACTTGCACCTTGCGAGTTTTGGTGTCCTCTGAGGCAGCTCTACGAAGGGAAGCGGAGCAAGGTGAAGTGCTCTTTCGGCAGCGCCTCGGCGTTACAGACAGGACAGGATTGCAGACGCTCTTGCTGTTGCACTGAGCTGATGCGTGGGTCGAGCAACACTTCTTACATCCTCTCATGCATTCTCTGCTACTGTAGGTACCATGCGGCTAGTACAGGCACTTCTACATACTGTGGCCACTTTCATGCTTTTCCCTGCGATCACAAGATCGCATTAGTTTCAAGCCTGGCTGTTGTTCAGCAAGGTGAGGACTTCATTGCTGCCACCAGTGTAGCTCCCAAGGACGCTCGGCATTCCAAATGGGGTGGATTTAGTCGGACATGCAAGGGCCTGCAGCATTACCAAGCCTTAAGCTGTTCCACCAGTTTGCCTAAGATCTGCCTAGAAGCACTCGCATGCAAGAAGTACGCCGCACTCCAGAACTCTGATTGGCAATAAAACGTGGATAAGGCAAGCCATGCTGAGCGTAAGCGACCCAAGAGGCGCCTGAGTATGTCAGACTTTCGTCTCTTCATTGGCCTGACTAGCTCCATCTGTCTCTCGCTTTCCACTTACTTTTCTGACTCCCTTCGTCCTAGTGAAGCTTTCAAGCGGCGCCTCTTTTGAATTCCGTCAACGTAGATTGAACTTCCCGAACTTCGATGCAACGTATATTGGACGGCGGGCTCTTCAGATGGCTCGTGTCTTTCCTCGTTGGAATTGTGCAGCATCAACGTGTGAAGTAGTTGGGAGGAACCAGCCTACGGACTGACTGCATCAGAGCGGCGGCACGTGTTCCAGCACCAAGCGAGACATGTCAGCGGAAGCCGGAAGCGGATCGGTATAGCAGTGTTGTGACAAAGTAGATGGTATGCAAGAAAGAAGATGTCATCTCGTCCAGGCCTCAACGAGAGCAATCTGGAAGGCCGGCCTGCTTAAAATTCCAAACCTACCGAGGACATCGACAATCTCTCGCCGGCTCCTGAACTCATCAATCGCCCGAAGCCCGCCGTGGAGGAGAAGTCGTGAGACATGCCATGTGAGTGACAGCGGCGATGGGAGAGTCCACAAGTCATCAAGCTGTCGTCGCTTGTAGAGGAGAAACCCATCGGCGGCTACAACGTGCAGGTTCGGTGTCCGATTTTTGAAGGGTAGATTCTCGTAATTACATGTGCCGCAAAGTTGGGAGAGAGGTTGGGTCGTGAATTGATTACGACTTGAGGAAGCTTTCGGTTTGAGCTAAAGCTGTGAGACTGCGAGCTTGCGATTCTTCTAAGCGACTCAAGGAAGATGCCGCCAAGGAGGAGCCTCTGAAAGAGGAGGTGGGAAGCAAAGCACAAGTTCCAAGTTGGGCTGTGGGTGGTTTTTCAGCCGAGATGCAGTGTGGCCAGTCATGATCGTGCATGTCAAGACGCCAGAAGAATCGCAGAGCCAATGAGGTGTAAAGGTGGAGAAAGGAGTTTTTTTCATACTGCGACCTGAACTTGGCTCCGTCGTTTTCTGCTGCCATTTCCAGCGTAGAAAACAGAACAAGCCGTCGAATGCCCTTCTGCACCAATCGAATGGTACCTTCCACTAATCCGATAGGTACCGAGCCGTCGACCGTCGAACTACCTCTACTACCTAAGGGAAGGTCCTTGGGTCGTTCTTAACATAACATGTTTTCGAGCCAACAGCAGGAATGACATGGCCAAGTCTACGCTTGGGTTCACGATCTGTCAAGCAATGCAAGAAGGAACAGAGCTGTGCAAGAGCAGATTGAAGTCCTCTGCCCCGGCTGAGCCGCTCCGAAACATGATGGACCGTCAAGCACCGGCGCCAAATGGCTCCTATGCCGCTTGGACCGAGCCAGGTGAACATATGGCAAGCTTCCTCATGCACATGGGTTTGGCTCTGTGAAGTTCTTGGCTTTGCAAGCGCATTCAAAGCGGCCCGCGGGTGATGACCCTTTGATGCGATCCAGTCAGACTCAGGAAGATGTCTTGGACATGCAGCTGAAGAGCCTGCACGAAACATTGCTGCAACAACACCGGATAGAGAAGGAGACCTGGCGATAGCTCTTGAGAGGGGAAGCCAGCTCACTTTAGCGTTGCACACCTCGTGTCTCGCTCGCTCGCTCACTCTCTCGCTCTCTCTCTCTCTCTTTCTCTCGCTCTCTGTTTCCTTCCTCTCTCTCAGAAATTGAAGCTTGCTGGCGGGACGCCCTGAACCGCGGTATCCTGACCAAGCCCGTAGTTGACTTCACTTGGACCTCTCGGGTATCTTGAGTGAACTCAAGGAGCGGCTGGAAGCCACGGCCTAGGCTAGGCCCCTCTGCCCTTAAGCCAATACCATGCTGCCAAGCTTCGAATGCTCGTGGCGCCCGAAGGAGCGGCTTGACCAGTCCTGGCGCAACCGGCTCAGCAGCGAGCTCGGCGCGCGAGTTTGGAAGGAGCAATCAGAGAGGTTGGATTGTTCTGGACGCTTCGGGGTGGGATCGTAAGTGCCGTTCAAGGAGTCTCGGGAAGCGCTCGACGGCGATCACGAGGAGGCAGAGACTGCAGACTCCGATGGCCCCTCAGCTTGGCACCTTTGGGCGCCCTTCACCGGGCATCTCTCAGCACCACTCTCGATGCCAATGGGAGATCCCGATGCGGCAGCCGGGGACGGTCCGGCGTCGGTCCCGTATCGGTGGGCTGACCTCACGCTGAAACTGGCAAACCGCAGCGCACAGACGTCGGAAAATGAGATGATTTCCAACACATCCGTGAACTGCAGCTTGGCGACCGGGATGCAAAACGGGAAGGAAGCGGTAGGAGTGGCAGTAGCAGCCTGTAGCTCCCATACTCGTCCTACTCGTAGCCTCCAAGCAAGCAGACTAGTTGCGGCCACCCTATCCGCATTCTCAGGTGATGCATCAAGCATGGACGATCCTGGGTCGCGATTAGTTGCACTTCTGGTTCCTGGTAGCCCTGTATTCTCTATTCTTGTCTGTGATCGGACGTGAGAGGGTGGAGACAGAAGGGATCCTCGGTCAGCCGAGGATCTCCGTCCAGGAGGCAATGAAACGACACCAGGCTCGGAATTACCACATGCCAGGGGCCGAGGCAGGGAACGGGTACAATTACTTGATGCTGGCTGCTAGCGCTAGCTGTGCGAGTGGCCGCGTAAGCTCATGAAGCTTTCGACTTCCCGAAGACTGAGACTGGGGGTGCAGTTGATCGCAGCAGCACGTTTGGCACAGTACGGTGTTATCCCACGCTGGACTCACAGGAGTCGGCTTCTACGCTGAAGATGAACGAGGCAATCTTGGACTCGTCCTGTCTCCAGCGCCTCTAGGTGGCAAGAAAAATCGAGTGCATCAAGCCCACGGAGGCCCCATGCCCAGAGTTCCACTCCCGGGATTCCAGATCGTCTGCGCATCTTCAGGCTTCGTGATTGCTCCAGGGAGCACGGCCCAGCTCGTGTTGTCGGCTCTTTGTAGCATCCTCATCGTCTCTTGCCTTGAACTGGAGTACCAGAAAGCGGCTGCAACACGGACAGACATTCACTTGTCACTCTTGTTTTCTTTGTGGCGGCCTTAGCCGCTTCAGAGCAGGTATGGGATCTGATTACAATTCCATTGGAGCTTTTCGACTTGCCCTCGCTCTACGGCTTTCTGCTCACCTTTGGCAAGGACGGCAGGGCTCCAGGGTCCAACCGAGCCCTCGAAGCAGCAGGTGGCTAAGTGCTCTAGAGTCTGCACACTGCCAGGCCACCTTCGCATTCTGGACCCTGAACATACCACTGCAGTTCATACTCGGCGTGGAGCTGCAGGGAAAGATCGCATCCTGCCCAAGTTAGTGTGCTTCAGGACCTTTTCAGGTCAGGATGCGAAGTGCCACAATCCAGACAAGTCGGGCCAGCCAGCTGCCACACTAGTCAGAGCAAGCTGTAAGGCGCTTGGTGAGGGTCTCAGCACAAACCGGTGCCTAGCATGAACCCTGCGCCCTACTCTTTTCTTGGCCGTTGCTCTCAAGGAAGTTCGGCCAGCCGTGTTGGCGCGGCTCTACTTGCGAAGCTGGTTCGCAGCTCGCCGCTGCAAAGTGGAACGAGTGGCTTCTAGTGATGGTTTGATGATCTTGCGTTGTACTGTGCCTTACGACCACCTGTTTTTCTGTGTTGGAGATGTCATGCAGATCGCAGGATCAATGATAGGGCAGGGTCATGTTCGCAGCTTGCGAGGGCACCAGGCTCTGACCCCAAATCCCCAGCAAGAGGTGTGTGTGTGTGTGTGTGTGCGTGTGTGTACACACACAATCAATTAATGACAAAATATCAGACGTACAGGCATGCAATGGCATGCATGTAGAGTTCGGCAATGACCACAGCGGATGATTTCGTCCAACAGGCAATGGACATGATTGTCGTGACCCTTGATGCAGTGCTGATACTTCTGGAAGACCAAGAGGCAGGCTGCAAGCTGGGTTTACACATGCATTCCCTCCTGCGCAGAGAGACAAGATAGGACCGCAACAGGCAGTGCCACGGCAGTGCTCAGGCTGGCAGCTTGAAGTCGGCACGCTTCCTGCGTGCGCTCCGTCTACTGCGCCTAGTGCGACTACTGCGCGTGCCTGGGAGGAAGTGTTTTCCTGTTCATGCTCGGAGTTCGTGCAGTCAGTAACTGTGTAACCTTTTATGCCTTTTGTTGTCTTTGTAGCAGGCTGTCACGGAGAGAGTAGTAGACCTCTCGAGTTTTTGAGGTCGCAAGGCTGCAGCACCAGCTCACTCTTCTGGCGAATCGCTTTCTCTCAGCAAACGCGTTCGTGGTCATGAAGGCAGGGTCCGTCATGCCGCCGGAGTTTCTCAAGATGTCCATTTAGCCTGGGTCTCCACTGGTTGAGGTGTACTGTTTTTATCACTGTGTGTCTGGCTGTTCTTACATCTAATGTTGAAAAGATGCATGCTCGATGTGTGTCTGGCCAGAAACAGCTTGCTCGGAAGACCACTCAAAACTGTACTGCTGGCGAGTTGTAATGATGACCCTTGACAAGTCATGAGCAGTGCTCGTCTTGCAAAAGGTCGTCGCTGGGCTCTCCGGTATTCTCGCAGCTCGGAATGCGGTGATAGCCATGGGCTGAAGGGAAGTACCGCCCCGAGAGAGTGACAGTGAAAGGATTCTCGTGCGAGAGAGGGAGGTAGACAGAGAGAGAGAGAGCCTGCTTTGCAATGGTGCTCGTTGCTGTGTTCTTTGCATTCAGCTGACGAGAACCGCCACTTTTTACAGTTTGAAGGGGACCGGTTGTTGCAGGGACTAAGGACTTTGCCTTAGAGGGCGGGGTGAGTGGGCCGGGATGCAGGCTAGTGTTCAGGGTTTGGGGGAATTGCAGCAACCGGCTACTTCGGGTCGAACCGACCATAGGGTTGAAAATCAGCCCGTGGGACCCGGGGGCGCCTTGGGCGCGGATCCAGCTCGCCTGGACCTTGCCCCGCAGCAAGCAAGCAAGCAGAGCCTGGGAAGCCTTCTTCTGGTTGAGTGCAAGCAAGCAAGTATTCCGGGCCAATACCTAAAGGCCTCATTGCCCTAATTCCCTTTGAGCCAGCTTAGGGCCGGGTGCGTTTGGTTTGCTCAGGAGCGAGCGCATAGGGAGTTGAGACAGTGCGCGCATTCCACGAGCAACCACATGGGACGGTGGAGAGAAGGAGCAAGCAGAACGAAGAGAACAATCAGTCGAAGTACGGCCTGCCCCATATAGGAAGAAGAAACGAAGAGACGGGACATGGTAATTTAGGTACTGAGTACACTTTTGCTTTTCAACACCAACCAGTGCCAACCAGTCTACGCTGAAGAGCGGGAAGAAGAGAAGGGGCAGGGAGAAGCGACGGTATGGAAGACAGTCCTGAAGGCAGTGAACCACCTCATCGCATGTGTTTGGTACGGCCTCGGCAGCTGGACAAGTGGTTTCAAAACTTCTTGCAGCCTCCAAATGTTGTAGTCGATAGGCTCACCTTGGTGGCCCCGTCTAGCTTATCTCTGCATCGCGTGAGAGCAGGACAGTCGATGGCCGGAGCTGGATCGTGCGTATGGAGATGCAGGAGGAGGGTGCTGGGAGTGTGATTCTGATCACTGGCTTTGGGTTTCGGATGGTTTGGGAGGATTAAAGGTTCCTGTCTTCTCGCTTCTTCATGGCAGTTGCTTGACTCCCTGTGCGTTCAGCATGAGCGGCCAGGCAGATGCCTTGGATTATTACGCCACATCCATACACTGGGTCAGAGCCCTAGAAAATCACTGCGAAGGCATGTTAAGAACAATGTGACGGGAATCTTGGCAGACCTCGTTAAGAAGGCCCTGACACAATTCACGCCGGCAACGAACAACGTCGCTCCAGAGAATGCGGTCGAGAGGCTCGGAGCACTTCTGCCGGCAAACCAACTTCCTCACACCTGCTTTGCCTGCCAGGTTCTTCGCAATATTTGTGATCTTGTTGGCGATGGGAATGTTCCTTGTCACTGTCCGCTGCGTACTGTAAGGTCGTCTGCTTGTTGACATGGTCAATGGAAGCAGAAGTGGTGGATGAGTAAACTGAACAGTTTCATTTTTCATCCTTAATAGAGAAAAACTGCGAGCTGGTCGTGGCATGCTTGGCTTCGAGCTGTTTTTCACTCCGAGGTTCTCCTCCTTCATTAGCTCGCTCACCTCCACGGTGAGTGCGTATCGAAACGCGCGGATGGAGCAGCTCTTTGCTTGAATGTGCGCGATGCCGGGAATGCTGCCGTCTTCGGAGAGCCTGTGGCTTGATTTCACGCGAGGTTCCATCAGCACTCCTTGCTCCTCCGGTTCTTTACAGAGCGGAATCTGTCGACGGATCTCTATGGCAAGATTCGGGAGGCTGGAACAGGATCAGCAGGTGTCAACGTGTTAGCAGCAAGCCAATCGTGACGAAGCCGGCTACGTCGCTTGTGCAAAGCTGCATTGGTCCAGAGCTCTGGGGTAACATCGGTGGGGTAGTGATTCCAGCCTCCTCCTTGAGGTAATCCAGAAAGAGCGGCATACGGGAATCAGGCGCGACGGCTTACGAAAGCGCCGGAGTGGGGGTATATGTAGGCAGGTCTGTTCTTCAGAGCTACACTTCACAGAGTTGAGCCGCAGAGACATGTTCTGTTTCCCCAAGTTGGCCATGCCTGCCTGTGCCAGGTTAAAGGAGGACGAAGTCCAACTTCTCCAGAAGGCCAGAGAGTTTCTTTAATTTCTGCAGATTGACGTTACTGGTCGTTTGGGTTGTAGAACTGGCATGCTGTGCTAGCTGGAACATGCTGGAACACGGATTCGGCATTGGTGCGATTAGATTGAGAAACACGAAGGTCCCCGCCGGCCTGAAGTTCCAGCTGCACGAGGAGATGTTCCTGTCGCACTCTAGCCGATCCATTTCCGTTGCGTTGGTGCCATCAAGCTCCGCCAATCAGCTTCGAAAGCCCCAAATAAGTTCAGCAAAACTGCTCCCAGGCAGCTCACCCGGATGCCATTCTGGCCTGCCTGGAGCCTCTACGAGGCCAGCGGGGCAGAACGTTCTTGAAAAAGGCCATTCTGCCCTCCATAGATAGAGAGAGAGAGAGAGAGAGAGAGAGAGAGAGAGAGAGAGAGAGAGAGAGAGGGAGAGAGAGATGTACACCAACACACACACGCACATGTGTGGTACAACTCTGAGGAACTGTTACACAGTCTTCCACATGTCGTGCCCTCAAGCATTGCACTCCATGCGCTCCCCGTGCTTGGCGACCAGCGTGTCCATTCCCTCATTCCCTGTACCCACCCCACCGCGCAGAAGTTGCGTCCACATGTCAGCGCCTCTTCCTGGCGCTCTTGCGTGGAGCTGAAAGCAAATCCTGCAGTTCTTTAGCACACCAGGACCAGCACTTCTTCAAGGCGCTGTGCCATGGTGCGATGGTCGAACGCGCCGCTTCGATGTGAGTTGGATTTGCTTGTATCCGTGTACGCTCAAACGAAGGCCCATCGGGCCCATCGTAATCAAGTACATGCACGGACTCGACTTGCACATGACGCTAGAATGGACAAGATATAGACAAGGTTACTTTGTGAAGCATGTCTGGAATCACAGGTTATCTACGTAAGGCAGCAGCACTTAGCAACCACATAGAATCTTGAGATTTTGCAGTTTCAGCTCTACGGCAAGGCACATCAGGTTGGAATGGGGAATGTTACTGCGACCAGAAACCAGCAAGCAAGCTATGACCGGATGACTTATTATTCGTCTATGCACCGAAAGCAGGCAGTTCCCTTCATCCAGCACGGCTCAGTAAGTTTTGACACTGGTCTCCGTCGGGCTGTCGCTATCATGTGTGCTGTTTATCGCATGACGGGCATGTGGCTGTGGCTTGACTTCTTCGCGCTCTGAGGTGACGACTAAGGGGCACGACGCCTTCATCCCCGAAGAAAGTTGCTCGGAAGTGTGCATTCTGGAGTCAGGCCTGCCTGGCTGCCTGGACTTGCGCGAAGCAGGCGTGTTTTCGTGTCGTTGTTGGAGGCTCCATGTCCTACGAGCCCGCCGAAGCCTTTCAGTTCGAGCGGGTCCGGGAAGGCGGCGGAAGATAGAAACGCGCAGGGCTTTGTCCAGTCTCTGTGCTTAGCTGCTTTGTCTTTTTCAGGCTTCGTTTTTTGCTTGCCGGCTCTCTGGGCCGAGTGGCAATACCGGGGTCGGCTCCACGCCAGTCCCTTCGCCGCATTTAGAGAGCGCGGGCGATTCGGCCTGTGGTCCCGGCCGAGGCTTCGGCACCTGCTACCACATCGGCCTTGATGCCTCCAAGTTTTGCAGGCGGGCCAGGAGGGTGTGCAACATCCCTCGAATCGAGCACGAGACTTATTTGGACCTGCAGGCTTGCTGCGCAAGCGGGTGGCCCGCTCTGGCAATTTCTGCAGATCTTCGGGTTCCTGTACATCAGCTGGAGCCTTGCTTGTACAAGCGCATCAGTGCAGCAGTAGAGAACAAATCCCGACTTAAAGTCGGACGTGGCCAGACGAGAACCGCTTCCGGCATTGAAGCTTCCAATACGTCCGCTTCAAAACCCCGCAGAGTACCTCTTGCTTCGGCAGTGTCCCCACCAGATCGTCAAACTCTCCGCAAGCAATGGCCAAGCGCCAAGAAGGCTCCATTTCACTTAAGACATGGAAAACAGACACATCGTCTGCTGAAGTGTCGTACGAGCTCGAGCTCCAGCCCAGGATCGAGACCATGGACGAGCAGGGAGAGCTTGTCACGGACAAATGTCCGGAGGCTCGCCTGGGCCTTTCTAAACCAATTCTGCCCGGCCCAACCCAATTCAGCACCCACGCGAATCTACACGCAGGAGGACAAGATCTTGGAACTCGTCTCCCGTACGCAGCGCCGCCCAACAGAACAGTCATTCTGAGACTTCCACGACCAGAGCTGAAGTGGTTCGTGCAATGTGAGTCCATTGCATTTCCATAGTCTCCGTGCTGGTGGAGTGCAGTGCTGCCGAGGCTACAGCAACACTATGCACGAAAGGGGGGCACTCTTCTCCGGCTACTCTGCGCGTGGTCTGGAATCTTAGCTTGCAGATAGCTTAAGCCCCAGCCGTCCCCAGCGCACGATAGTCTGCATCAGTTACGTTGATGACGCCGGACGGCTCGTAAAACTTGTGCTTCCCTGAATTTCCTGCTCTTCGGAGGGGCTGTGTTAGGCGACAACGTGGGGAGAGCACCCCACTTTCCCTAGCCCCAGCAGGCTCCCGCAAAGTGCCGGAAGCCCTGCTGCAGAGGGGTCTTTTCTGAGGCATCGCCTTCGATCCCGCATGCCCTGCTGCAGAAGGCGCATGACGCCAGACGTCAAGCTGAGAATCAGATTGAGACCACCGAGGACACCATCGGTTTATAGGGTCAAGACTCATTGACACAATGCCTGGTAGCTGCAAACTTTTATCTGCGACGCTTCGGCTGAGATGTCGGACATGTTTTCCGCGAGCCCGCAAAGCGGGTCTCCATGATGTCCATTAGGACTGATCAGTTCAACCGGGCAAACTCGGACGAGCGCCAGCAACAGCAATAGGGCTGCAGATTTGCCATAGGCACCTCGTCCGCGCCCTCCATCCTGTCATAGCTGCAGCCTGGGAGTGTGGGGCACACTCCCCTTTGGTACCTTTTCATACGGAGCCTATGCAGGAGCTTCGAAAGCCCTCCAAGGGGTCCATGCCCTCTTTTGCGGTTGACCACCCTTCAAGCTTGGAGCAGGTGGCGCAATGCCTTTGAGCAGGGTTCACCACTGCTATCTAGCAGCTAGCATTTCGCTGAGTTGTGTCCTTCGAGATCACAAGTTGCGATTATCCGATGCGCAAGTATTTTGGTCGTTGGCGCATGGCATGGTGTGTCCTTGCTGGAGGCAGTGTTGCAAGCCAAGAGCCTGTCTCGTGGGAGGAGAAAGAGTTCATGCAGGGTTCGCATCGTTGCCAAGATGGGCACTTCGTCTTGGGATTCGGTTTCATTTCAGATCAGTGCAGCGCTTACACTCGGAGGATCTCGGCCAAGTCCCAGTACAAACCTCCCACTGCCTGATGCCAGACTGACGGGACGACGGAGCAAGGACCGCCACTCCAGAAGCGCCAGCCGGCAGCTCAGGTCTCAGAGGCTCTCAGAGGCTCAGAGGCTCCGCGCCGCTCTTATTTTGTGAGGTCGCGGCACCTCTTCCAGAACTCCGATGGCTCGCTGAACATGCAGACGCTTGACTCCTCCGCTTAAGGGCTCTCCGCTTGGGCTCTGCTCTCTCCCTGTTCCTTTAAAGAAGTCCACTGGGACCCTCCCGGCGCTCTGCCTCCCGTGCCGACTCTGAGGATGAGCCGCACGGCCAGTTTGATGCTGGTGGACATGGACGAGTTCTGCGCGGAAGCGGCTACTCGGGAGGAAGAAGGATCCAGGAAGCATGTCGATCTTTTCCGGTGAATGTGTGAGTTCGGCAACTGAGGAAGCGGAGGAGTCGCATCTCGTGGAACTGGAACGGGATCGACTCAACATGCAGCAGAGGTGCGGGTGCAGCGAGACTTTCCCGTGCTCGCACGATAGAGCTGCCACGTCTTGAGAGGCGTGTCGCGAGCGCCACCCTCCTCGAGGACGGTTGTCGGGATCGGAGACAGCAGCAATTAAACCAACGAGCTCGCAGCAGCAGGCAGCTAGATCAGCTAGATCCAGGCAGATCAGCAACTCTGACCTACCTACTTCGTGGCGCGCAAGGAGATGGCAAAGATCACAGAGTATGCAGATCCATCCCACACGGTGATGTTGCAAGGCCCCGTGCGAAAGATTGGTTTCCGGGCCTTGCAATCGCTGCGACTGTCGACTTTGGCTGAATCCCAAAGCAGGGTCCCGAAGATAGGCAGTGGTGGTGGCATCAGCCATTTGGTTTTTAACACTGCTGTCTTGTGACTGTCTAGCTCTCTCCCTCACCTCCTTTCTCTCTTTATCATTTATTTCTGGACTGAGAGATGAATCGGCACCGGAGGCTTCAACTGGGAGAGCCACAAGGCTGGCAAAGGCAATTGGTACGGCATCGTTGAGTCGAAGGCCTGGCAGGGTCTTTTTAACAGGTCGTCTAGCCCTAAGACATCCATGGCAGGTGGACATGCTCGCCGACGTGGGCATCACAGAGCCTTGACATTGAAATTACACGAGTTCAGGCTTACATGACGTGCCTGCCTAGCTGTCTAGGCTTGAGCAAGCTAGGCATTGCACACCGCCCCACCTCCCAACCAAGACTGTGACAAACTGGCCTCATGCGCGGTGCAAGATATTGATCGTTGGGAACAAGTCGGTGCCGAACGCTTCCCTGAATTAATATTCAAGAGGGAAAGGGATGAAAAGGGTGTGACTGGATGCGATATTCATCGCGGCCCGCCCATTGCACCCAACCCAGTGGACTTCGTAAAGTGGGAAGGGATCACATTGCGAGGATATTTGGCTGCCGCCCTGCTCGCAGTCCGTGGCGCCCCAGGCCAGGCGAGGATGAAGAGATGTAATATTCTGGTTTCGAAGAAACTGGCCCAAATTCTGCGACACCTCAGTATGAACAAAGGGAAAGTGCACTTTCTTGGGGCTCCGGCCACATCAAGGAGGACACATCAATGTCCAAGTAGCAGGAATTCCCAGCCAGGGGAGTTTACACAATTCATGCCACATGGAAAGCGAGAAGCTTCTTCGGCTTGATAGTTTAAGACGCAGAAATAGGTCAGTGAATTCAGCCTTGGTGAGTTCGCGCTCTGACTCCCTGCAAGAATTGAAGCTGCGTTGGCCTCAGACGGAAAGACTGCGTGGATGTGTTCGGTCTCATGAACAGGGCTACTTGCCATCACAGTTGTTCAACCTCGATGCATCGGCCTATGGAAAGAAGGCTCGGCCTGCCTTGTCACGGTGTGGTTTGAGCATTCTATGGGCATGGATCCCTGGGCTGTTGTGAGAGCTGACTTTTGTCAGCAAAACACATGCTTGATTAGTTCAGAAGGCCGAGCCAGCGATCCAAAAATGTGAATCTTGTTCCTCGCTCGATGCGCAGTGTGTAGCTGGGTTGAGAAACAAAGATTTCATGAGAGAACATTCGTCGCGCGGCTAACGGTTAGTTGCTCTGCCGCATGAAAAAGTATCCAGTCCTGGAAGCTTTCAACGTTTTCAAACATGACTCAATCGTTCGTCATTTCATGTTTGCAGCATTGATATCGACCGGTTGGAGATTTGCCCAAAGCACCCTCGCACAGACTGCAGCAAGGAAGTGTGCCTACCACAGATGCAGAGGAAAGTAGAGGACAGAGACCTTGCAGATGGGGCACGTCGAGACAAACAGCTTCAAGAAAGGTCCCAGCTTGCAAGCAGCGGCAACTTTCAACATGAGTGGTTGGGGATTGAGTACCTCAGACATCACAGCAGAATAGAAATCGAAATGTTCAGTGCAAAGAGCCCTTTCCTCACAGAGCAAAAGCAATATCTAAGCTCAGTGATGTTGCGTCGAGGCTATTGAGCTATGATGGTCTCAGAACTCAGGGATGTGCTTCTACTCAAGAGTGAGACAGACCTTCAGCAGATGTGCCCCCTAATTACAACAGCATGCAAGACGAATGTTACAATGAACGAAATGTTCTAGAGAGGTATCTGCAATCAATGGTGTATGAGAAGAGTCACGACCGAACGCTACATAGCGCGGCAAGCATCCCCGAGATTGCCATCCTGGAGTCTTGACTGTGCAGCTTTGCCAGTGTCTTCTGTTGGGCTTACGATTTTGGAGGCCTATATTCGTGCCCTGCAGCACTAGTAGCTTTCGCCTTGTGAGCCAGCGTGTGTGCCTGAGCGCACTTCGTCTGGGGGGGTTGATCCTTGGCACCACTCCACTGTGCGGCATGTCTGTTGTGCATCCAAACACTCGCATCTCATGTCATGCCAGGGTTTGTGTGCGCGGTGCGGTTGGGGTTGAGCTTGTGCTTCGCCTTTTGCATTTGCTGCAACTTCACAGTGAGCAGAAAGTGAAAAGCGCAGATGTTTTCATGATGACTATCCTGCATATTTCTACTTGGACCAGTCACAAAGTCAATGCACGCATGTGGACGGCTTTCAGGTTTTGGGCGCAAATAACCAGAGGTGGCCATATCCCCACCCGGCACGGCTGCCAGGGTCTACGATGCAGCACGTAAAAAGAGTCGGTACTCTAAGGGCACACCGTCTCTCCTGGCCCTTCACAGTTCGGCCGCTCAGCAAGAGGAAATTGACTAAACTTGCCGCTGATCCTTTTAACGCAGCTACTTCAACGAAAGAAGCCTCCGGATGTTCATTCTCTATGAACTTATCACGATGTCGGCAGACATGAGCTGCCGCGAAGCCGCCGGCACAAGTGTTTGGCAAGTGTTTGGCAGGGGCACATTATCCAGACTCCCCAGTACCGCAGCAGAACAAAGCTCAACCATCGAACTGTGTTTCGATAGAAAGAATGAGGAATCGATGTCAAAGACGCAAATCTGGCAAGACTGGGCAGAGCTGTGCATGTTCAGGCTGCGCTGAAGTCACTTCTCAAAGCGCTGCATGCGAAGGCTCCGCCAGGGAGCCGGGCGGGATCCAGATACAGTGCTAGTTATCATTTGGCTAGGAGTGATTCCAGAAATAGCATGTTGGAGAAGCTGTTTAAATCGGACACTGTTCTCTGGCTCCTTCATGGCATCTTGTAGGAAGAGGGCATGAACCGTCCACTGGAGCTTTTTCAGGTTTCAGCACGGATAGAGTCACAGGGCGTGACTTGCTGCGAGTTCCAAAACGTCCCGCTTGTGGCGTGAAACTAACTAACGTGGATACATGTTGTTTTTAGCATACACGTAGGGTCTGTCGGGAAGGGCATCAATCTGGCAAGATCTTGAGGGCATGCGCGGCGTCGCAGATATCGTCATCAACCATCGCTGCGGGGACAAGCAGGACGGAACAGGTCAGTGCTGTCTTTTCAGCGACCCGAGCCGAACCGTTGCATGTGAGAGGACGAGCAGGGGCGGTGGAATGTGTTCACCAGCACGGGCATCGAGTCCCGGAAGAGCTTTCACGGCATCATGGATTGGCAAGGTGGCATGTGTTCGTTGAAATGGGTCAGCACACTTGGCTAGTTTGGGCGACTCTCAAGGCCTTGCTTTTTGTTGTCGCTTGGTAGAATGGGCGCGAATGGAGCAGCTGTTGCTTGTACAGGCTGGGCCATAACCCTTGGCGACCAGTTTTCGGATGGAACCGGAGAACGAGGATGGGCGTCAAAAGAAATCAACGAAATAGAGCAAAGTTTTTTGTAATATATGGCTATCGAAGATGTGAACCGTATCTGCTGCTGAAAGAGCAGGGCCCGGTCATTATGATGGGAAGTTCGATGCCGCGCCCGACATCGACCATGGCAACAAAAAGGTGCTTCTGTAGATTAGGGTAGAGGAGTAGAGCACTCCCGTCCCCGGCCCACCTTCCGAATGCCACCCCGCCTGCAACAGTCCTCAGGTGCAGGGCAGCATCGCTATTTGGCTGCGTTGGCTCCGACTTGACATCGGCTTCGATGCCTGGCGCTTCGACTTCGTCAAGGGCTCCTCAGTCGCACGGAGACGGGGGGAGAAGCTCCCAACAGCACGTCAAAGCAGTCGTGGCACTGCATTTGGATCGAAGGCTATGGTGCCGAATATGTCGGCCACTACTGCCGCGGAACTGCAGATGGACCAAACATCGCAAAGTTTCTTGGGCGTGGCTGTGAGGCAAGAAGAGTGAGCCGTCCTGGGCTGTCGGAGAGCTGTGGTTGGACATGGAGTGGCTTGGAAGAATGGAAGCCTTTGCAGGTGTTGCGCTTTTGTGCCTGGCTGAAAGCTTCGAGGTATCTCGCTTGTCAGCCCGAGCCTTGCAATGCGACCAGGTACGATCACGACGGCTTGAAGTACAACCAGGATAAGCACAGGCAGATCACACCAGCCAAACGGTCGGGCTCCTCACTGCCGCCTGCAACCCGAGATTTAGTGAGGCAGGATACTGTGAACTGGATCAATGGCACGGACAAAGAGCACCTTGGCGAAGCTCCTTAGAAACCTCATTCCGGTTTTTGCTGGCCAAGTTTTGCTACTCAGGAGCACGGCCTTCGATTTCACCACCAAAGGTATCCTCCAGGCCCCTTCGGACAGAGATCGGGTGTATGCCGTATGCAGCTGTGAATGGGCCAGGAAGCGGTTCGCAACACGCAGTACTGGCGGCTCAAGGACTCCAACGGCAAGCCTCCAGGCAGGCGGAAGTTGGTGTCAGATCTTCGGGAAAGTGTGAGGTCTGCGAGCTGCAGTGTGTTCGCGGCGTCTCGCAGCATGTAGCGACATGGAGGCGTGTTTTTGTGGATAGCTTCCATCCGATGCTTCTCCGTGTATAGCTTTGGAGAACTTTTGAGCCCGAGCTGCTTGCTGTCGCCTCCGTTCAGTACAGAGCTTTTCTGGGCAGCCGTGATAAGTCCACCGACCGGCTTACAAGACTTCGATGAGTAAGCTATCTTGCATGAGCACATGGCCCCGAGGCAAGCCATACGCTTATAGCCCAGAGCCATTGTAGCTTGGTGGGCAGGTCTCTTGGGCTGGATGCCGACACACGCTGTGACCTTCCTGGACAACCACGACACAGGAAGCACCCAAGCCCACTGGCAACAGCCTCGGAGTTTACCCGGCGCGTACACTCCGATCTGGCTTGCGGTGGTTCAATCCGCAACACGCCGAGGCCTTTTCCGAACGACAAGGTGTTGGTGGGCTATGCATACATCCTCACCCACCCAGGCACCCACACTCATGAGCCACTCACTGCTGCAATCAACGTTTGACGAATCCAAGATCCCTGTCAGGTATTCCATGCATATTTTGGGACCACATCTGCGACTGGGGTGAGGCCTCCGGCTCTTGCCCCGAGAATTCTGGTTCTGAGGTCTAAGCCTCCCCATCAGCCCCGCCAGGATATGCGAAATCGAATCAAGGCGCTGCTGCAGCTGCGCCGAAGGGCTGGGATCAAGGCCATGGCAATGCGACATGGAGCCTCGTGACGCCTTGACTGCGTCTTCCCTCTCCGTGCAGGTGGACGACAAAGTTCAAATCTTGTGTGCAGATCACGACCTGTACATTGCAGAGTGGCCGGGCTGTGTCTTGCTGACGGCGTCTTGAAGTTGGGTTTCCGACAGGCCCTGCTGAGCCATGCTGTTGCCGAGGATCGGCTCGCCCCCTGCACTGCGCGTTGCCCTGGGCCCGAAGCACTCCGGCGTCGACGGCGCCTGGTCTCCCGGCGCGGAGGGCGCAGACACTCGGAGAAACACGCCGAGAGCTTTGGGGTATCCCGTGGCACTGGGCATATCTGGGCATCCTACCTTTGATAAGTTGAATTGCAGAATGTGTTCCTCTGAGGACTATCGTGTCTGGATTAGAGCCTCGGCGGCCATTCTCTTTAGCTGGTTTGCTGGATATGGACTCCAGGTTTGCCCATGGGGGGTGACTGTGGTGCCATGTTAACGTTCGCATAATGGCAGCACAGATCAGCACCTTCTCACAGCGGTGATATTCCCACGGTTCGCGGTCAACTTAGTGACGGCGCTTCCTCACAGCGGCGGTACCCCCACGGTTTGCGAGACCGTCTTGTTGTAGCGACGCTTGCTCACCACGGTGGCATCCCGACGGTTCGCAGTCAACTTCTTCATTGAGCTGCTTTCTGTTGGTATCTCCAGTGCTCGCTGTTACTATTCCTGAGTGGTGACAGTGTCCTACCGTTGTGCAACAGCTCGAAGTCGGCTGGTGGCGCTCTGCCAATGTGGTGCTGTTTTGGTGTCGTTGTTTGCATTCTGCTGTGGCTGTTTGTTTCTTCTTCCGTTGTGTTGCCCTTGCTGTGGGGGCCTTGTATCATGTTAGACCGGAGCTCACCTCAACTCATAGTCGTGTGTTCGGACGAATGCCGAGGTCAGGGCAAGTGATCTTCGTGCGCAAAAAGCGTTTGATCATGCACTCTTTTGCCCTGGGGCTGCTGTTACGGTCCATGAAGCGCTCAGGCGCAGTGCGCATACATGTAGTGAGTCGGAAATGCAAGCAGGCTCTGAGCTGAAGAAATTCGTGCAGAGCCGGCCACAACGTAAGCGTGTGCCTATGCGTATGCGTGTGTGTATGTGCGTGTGCTTCGTCAGTTGAGCTTCAAGCTCCAATCATCGATTTTATTCTGCGGTCTCCCGCTGCACTCCGCGGCGGCTTAGCCGCAGCCGGCAAGGGGCGACTTTTCCGCCAAAGCCCCGAAGCCAGGAAAGGATCCTCAAAGACCGGCCTTCCCGAAGCGTCCAATAAGCGGAGCCATGCCATCAGCCTGGAAGTCATGGTGGTGACTTAATGGCCACCCCTTGGACCCAGCATAGCCAGGGCGAGCGATCAAGCAATATCAAGTAATTGTCCAGCGGAGGTCGTCGGAGCATCATAGCCCTTTGGAGCCCCCCTGAGGCACGGAGAACTATCCTAAGTCCTCTCGCTGCCACCTCACAGCCGCAAGGATCCAACAGGTTTTAATGGCCGGCATGGCTTGCGTAGCCGCCAGCCATCGCTGCTCAACAGCTTGTCGTGCCTGGCACCGGGCCAAAGGGTATGCTTCCTCAGAGAGTGGTGACCGTCCTGCCTAGCCTGTACCTGTGCGCGTAAGTGACGAACTTAAGCAGGAGCTTGCGGAGACCCAAGCTTCCTTGCCAGACACACATGCCCATGCCCGAAACGTCTCCGTGCACTGCAGTTCGATGCTTCGGTGTGTTTGGAAGACTGCCAAGGTTTCGCGGCGGCCTTGGCTGTACTAAGAGAACCAGAAAAACGACAGCAGACGTCCAGAGAGCTGAGCCTGAGCCTAAGGTGGCGGGCCTCGGCCTTCCTACCGAGATAGGCGAAGCGCTCTACGCCGAGCACGGGCCGTAGAAGCATTGGAAGCGCGCGCTTGTGCAAGCTTCGAGACACCCTCAGGTTGGAGGCTGAGGGCACCCTGCAGTCCTCGGAGGCCACTCAAACTCGGAACATCTCGGAACTCGGACTCGGTCGCAGCTCGGGAGCTGGCCCCCACGGCTTCAGGAAATTCGTATTCCCCCTGCAGACATGGAGTGGCTCGCTTGGGCCTCGTTTGAGTTCTGGCATGTTCTGGCTGTCGCAGTCAGTCACAGCTAGGTCGGCCATTTCGGTCCCCAGATCGACATCCGTTTCCTCCTGTATCGGCCACAGCTGGTACCAGCACTCAGGCAGAACGACGCCCTCAAGCGTTCCTGGGCGTTAAGATCCGCCTTCTGTAGGCGGTGTGTCGACTTCGGGCTGGAGCTGCCCAAGTCAGGTGCACCGGTGCACCGGATGCCGACTGCTGTTTTGAGGAGTCAAGAAGAGTCTGCAGCGCCACGCAAGGACTCCAAGCAGATGCAGAGCCCTCCGAGGCACCAGACCGGGCTTCCACGCCCCGTGTATGCAAGAAGTCACCAAAACACCCCCCTCCCCCCCTTCGGCTCCTGCGGCCTCAGCCAGAGCGAGCCAAAGCCAAGGCCAAGCTGCCGCCCGGCCTCACATGTAGGCCTCGGCTCCCGCGCGAGCACACGACCCCCGAGCTCTGTGCAGGGTGCTCGGAAGGGGGGAAGGACGGTAAGATGCCCTGCAGACTGTGCAGCATAGACAATGATGTACACTGTATACACTGATACTTGCTGATCATCCCCACTTCGTGAATGCTCAGCGCTGTGGAGAACGTGGCAGGCAGAGCCCGTCGCCTCGGCTGCGGTCGGACCCGTGGCCCAGGCAAGTGGAGGATCGCGCTTCCGAGGCCGAGGCGCAGGGACGGGGCCGCGAGCGCTTCGATGTGCCGCGGCAGTGCCGCGGGTTCAGAGTGGAGGACTGTGGTCTTGAGGCAGAGAAGGACGTGTCTCAGCGCGTGGAGTGGGGTCAGGCCCTTGGGCCCTTGGGCATGGCGCGCTTTCAACATTCGCTCACCATTTGCCATGAAGCACAGCAAGGCTTCGAGCGCGGGCACGGGCCGTTTCCAGGGCCAGCTCGGCGGCGAAAGCCAGCGTCACAGTGGGGTCCGGAGGCTCAGAGCCTCCCAGAGCTTCAGGTTCCTGCAGTTGTGGGCACCAGGATTCGAGGCCAGGAAGGCAGCAGCTTCGGCAACCCTGGATCCGGCACGAGTTTCGTGACCCAAATCCAGTTTCAGCTGCTTTGGCCAAGCCTCAGCCTTTTTACCGGCTCGAGAGAACCACGGGTCCAGGGACCCGTTAACGTAGCAAGGACTGCACCCGCCTGGCTTGCAGCAAGCTTTTGCGATCTTGACTCAGAGCTGTTTTGCGATCTTGACTCAGAGCTGTTAGGGTTTTCAAGAAGGACGCGAGGTTTTGAGATCCCTAGACTGGTCGTGACAAGCCTGTGCGCAGGACTTCCTGTCTGTGCAGCCCGGCGGCACTAATACGGTGTCAATAGGGATGCCGTGGCGACAGTACGGTGGGCTAAGCAGCTCTGGAAGGCAACGTCCTCCTCTCATCCCAGGCATCTCTTCCTTTGCAGACCATGTCCTTCCAGCTCTTGGGCCTGCTGCTTCGAACGATTTCAGCTCGTCAGTGCTTCGGGCTTCGGGTGCCCTCAAGTGGCTGCTAGCCGATTGGCCGTACCCCTCAAAGCTCGAAAGCTCAGGTTCGTGGCATTTGCCACCTCAGAAGCGGCAAAGATGGTTCCCATTCCGAACCAACAGGAGCCCTCGCCAGGGCAGCTCTGGGAAGCCAAGCGCTGGAGTGAACGATGTGAAAGACTTCTGCTGACAAGCAACAGCGACTGCACTTCAATTCATGCCCGTGCCCGGCTTGAGTCAGTGCAGGACAGCATCGTGAATCTGCTTGCAAACGTGCCGAAGCCTAGCGAGTCCAAGGCCTGGGGTTCACGATCGCCTTCGTGATCCTCCGTAGTAGTTCTTGCTGGGTCGCTCTATCTCAAGGTCTTCACTATCACTATCCCAACGAACAGGAGCCCGAAGCCTTTGGCACCCCATAAAGATGATGTGACAGGCCAAGGCTACCGAGATGGAGACGATGGCCGCTCGATAGGCTCTTATTCTGCCTCTCTTTCGCTTCGTTAGTTAGTGCGTGAGGTCTTGAAGGGTAAGTGGAGGAATTGTCGTCTTCATGCTCTCGCGTTTCTAGACGTGAATCAAAAGGTGAAAAAGCAATTATGGCCTGGATGGGCCTTGGTTCTGGATGTTCTGGTCACAGGCGAAGCTTTCTGTTTTCGAATCGGAAGGATTCTCGAAGACCCGATTTTTCAATCCGGCACGAGATATTCAAACATTTGACTGATCGCCGAAACTGAATGCGGCAGATTGTGAAGAGCCTCAATGCAAGTCTCCGAGGTCATGCTGCTCGCACAGCAGGCAAAGCTTGCCCGAAAGCAGTCTCAGGCCAGCGGTTGTTGGCCTACGTTTTGCCTGCGTTGCAGACTGAATTCTGGGATTCCTGCAGACCGAATTGTCGGATTCCTGCCTTGAGAAGCCAAAACAAGGCTCTGCGTAGTTTGTTGCCTTGGTTATGACCCTGGGCTTGACTGCGTTGGCATCAATATTGAGCATCTGGCATCTGATGCAAACTAATGTTGAGCATCTGGCATCTGAAGCAAACCAGGCTTCAGTTTGAGGAAGCGTGATGATTTGCGCCAGGGCGCTGACGGCAACGTGACGGAGTTGGTCACGCAGATCAAAGGGGACAGAACATGTAGAGGGTCTGCAAAGTTGGTGTTTTGGTGCCATGGCATTCTCGCAGTCCTTGAAGCGGGTTTGGTGGAAGGTTGAGATGATATTTCGTGATAGGCTTGGGTCTTCTCAATTGGGAAGCTTAAGTCGGGTATGTTGGGAAGGGGCCGCGGGCTATAGTGGCTATGTCTCTGAACGCTCAGACTAGTTGATACAGCCGACGCAGCGAGGCGTACTGCCAAGGAGGTGAGGAAGAACATAAACACTTGCACAGGAGCTGAAGAAGATGGAGGAGGAGGTTCTGAAGGCTGCTGGCGTTGCCGATGGTGCCTGCCAAGAGGACCCTTGCACAAAGCTCTTGAGGTTTATGGATTTGGACGGCGGTTCAGGGAAAGGCAGAGTCAAGACAAGTGATGCTGTTTGCAACCTTCGCAGCCTTAGCAGACTCTGTATCATAGCAGTGTGCGCGGTGAAGACAAGGAGTCCAAAACATGCCCGGCCAGGCCTTTGCAAACCTCTCCGTGGGGTGCCCGCTCTACTCTGGCAACACAACCTTCCTTCCAGAAGGTGCCACGCCGGAGCTCGATTTCTGGAAACATCTCTTTTATCGTGTGACGCTTGCGATATCCAAGGCTTCACTGGCGACTTCACGCCGCTCCGCGCTGCACACACTGCCTGCCGCGCGGAGATCGTTGGCAAGAAGCAGGCAACAAGGGCTCAGCGACGATGCAGAGCCTGTTTCCCTGTGCATGGTGGACGTTTGCAAGCAGCTCGGAGGGATGCTCAGGGATGTGGCATCGTTCAGTGCGGCTTTTGCGTCCAAAGATGAGTCCGTGCATGCGTGCTTAAACCGGTTGGGCCATAGTTTCATTCTGCTAGGAGCTGGATGCCTGCAAGTCAAGTCGCGAGAGCCTCATCTCTCTGGAGCAGACTCTGACGACTGAGTTCTCAGGCAGATTTCTGCAGGGATGACCGGGGAGATCCGGGGAGTGCCGGAGTTGGGCTACTGCGGCCCCTGACAGGCATTAACATCTTTGAGAGCCCGGAGGACCGCCAAGACTTATACAAGCCACTCTCATGCCACTGTTCAAGGTTCTTTCCGTGCACTAGCAAATGCGCTCTTGAGATCCTCCTTCAGTCCCCGAGCCTCGTGATCTTCTGAAGGAGTGCGCAGTCAAGGGAGACGACGTCCTGCTGTACTTGGGCTCGATGCACCCCGGCAGTGGCCAGAGGACAGTTCAGCATAAATCAAGAGAGGGCTGGCTACACACGGAGTTCTGCACCAGATCAGGGCTTCCAGTCGAGTGGCCCAACGCTGACAAGCAGCTCTCGCCTGACCGAGGCGTGACCACTTCAAGAACAAGCAGGCCGCTCACCTCGGCCATCCTAGTAGAGACAGTTCCAGTAGTTGTGGACTTATGGTATGTGGAAAGTCTACTGTAGCTGCTCCGTGGTCGCTTCAACTTAAATTTCCCAACCTCGCGAGTTGGCATGGTGGAAAACCTATTACAAGCTGGAGAATGTGACGCAGAACATCACTCAGTGGAACTGCACGGACAAGGCTGGGACAGCTATCGGGACCCCGATGCAGCTTGCTAGTTTTGCCTGCTGGCTCCTGAGCTGCGCCGCAGGAGATCGAGTATTTCGAGAAGATCTCGGCTTGCAGCTGGGGATGCATTGTGGAACTGGCAGCATGTGTCGAGCTAAAGCCTTATGCTAGCAGCTAGCCCTATCGTCTCCGGAGTGACTCGAGCAACTCGATGTCAGCTTGCAGCCAGGAGTGAAGGCTTATTGTGAGACAAGCTCGCACCACTTCAGATTCTCGCAACACAATCTAAACAACTCTATCAACCAGAGCAAGCAGCTGCCTATTTTTTTTTGCCGGTGGGCTAGTTGTATCGCAAAAGGCGAGAGGGCATCGCTCAGATTTCAAGGCCAGGCAGCGCAGCTGGAGCTTGAGGAGACCGCCTGCCAGGTGCATGAGAGGACCCTTTCCAAACTCGCTAGGCTTGGAAGATTTTAGTCTCGGCGAAGTTTGGAGCTATCGGAAGAGGGGCTCGTTCGGCTGGGCATCCCTGGCAAGCTTTCACAGGACCAACGAGTCCTGTGCGTCTCTCCCCGCGTGCTATGATGCCAAGTGGTCCAACTATGTTGCTTGGCCTCCAGCTTTTGCAATTGTGGGCGACCCCCTTTCGGGGGCTACATGTTGACGTTGAAGGTGAGGATCAGCTGGCATCGTGATTCTTCAGAGATGTCCGAGAAGCACGTGTTGACGAATTCCCTGCAAAGAACTGTTTCTGCCCAGTTGATCGAAGTGACGGCCTCCAACAAGACCATCCAGGCTCTCGCTGGGGGCTGACTGTTTCGGGTTGACTGTCCATGAGGGCGAAGACTCATCGACTGCAGACTAGCCTCTGTGGGCATAGCTCGTAACTTTAGGTGAGTCACGTGAGGTTAAAGCAATGACCCGCAGAGAGCCGTGAGCCGAGAGGACCTGAAGTACGAGTACCGTGCCATCAAGCGAATCGGGTGCCTGCTGGACACCGGGCTCCTGGAATGGGGCAGTTTCTTTCGGAAAGTAAGTACTGGCTTGAGAAGGGATGTAGGTCAGTTTAAAGTTTTTACGATCCTGCAAGCCGCCTTTGAACATCATTCAGAGTGCTGAAAAGACGTAGCCTCTACAGCTGTCCTCTGGGGTGAAGCACGGCTGGTCCCCAGGAAGCCTTCTCAGCGGCCGATATGGATGCAGCCATCGATGCGTGCATCGCAGAGAGGTCTGTCCGGAATGCTGAGATTTGCGAAGAGGGTCCTAAATTGACGATGATGCACACGATACATCTGAAACAACATGTCCTTCTGAGTAACCTTGAAAGATTCGCGAAGAAGGGTGGATGGAGACATCGTCGCCCGACGAAATCTAATGATTTGTCTGCCCTTTATCCAGGCATTCCGCTGCGGCAGTCAGGACCGACTAGAGTCAGGATTTTCATGTTGTGCACAGCCTTGCACGAGCAGTTAACGCAGACAAGCGAAAACAGTGTAGACCCAAAATCTGCCTAGGAGCAAATGTGTGGACAGCCACGCAGGCATCGAGAAGCCAAGCTTTTCGGGTGCAAAGTCTTGGCTGCGCCAAGCGGCCCTGATGCGGGCCGGACTCGCACACTGTTCTTGGATGGCAGCCAGCCAAGGTTTCGTGACGCCAGAAGTCTGCGCAGGAGGTCTGTGCTGGTAGCTTCCGCAGCCAATCGTCACACCTCCCTGCACTCCCTGCACCAAGTTCACTCTACTGCCTATTGCTGAACAGGACTCCAGTCCATTCTGCACCCTTCAGACCCCAACTTCAACGAGACT